CTCAATGCTGGTGCTGGAATTGCTTGTCAGAGCAGCCACCTACAAGAGCAATGGGGATCAGAGTCAGAGCGGCAACTTTGTTTTTTCTCAGCTTAATGGCCCCAGAGTCTGACCTGCATGCTCACTCTTGTTTGTCTGGATCTTTAAAGAGGCATCTTGTATTAAGAATGTCAGAGAATGGTGTTGCTTTATGTTCAGTAGGGTTCTCTGCATCATCAAGGGTGAATGTTGTACATCAAAAACTTTCAGAAGGCTTTCCACATAGGGAAGTCAAATATGCACAAACCTTGAAAGAAAAATTCCATGTATTAAGTTTAAGCTTTGATAGCATCACACTTTCCTAGTCCTGAAGTCAAAAGAGACTTGATATTTTTTATAGCTGCTGCTTCTAATTCTTTTTCTTCTTTGAGTTTACATAAACTGTTATCTGGATATAGTGCTACTAATTTTTAGACTGCCTCATCATATGTGCTCTGTTACTTACCAGTCTGGAGCAGCTATCTAAATGAGCATAAATACTGAGGATTTTATTCTGATCAAGCCCAGGGGATATGGTGGTGGCTTTAAAAGGGATGAGGCAGATTTATGGTGGATAAGTCTATCAATAACTGTTGATTAAATGGAACATACATCTTCAAAAGTAATGTGCTTAATACCATAGGGGGACAGCCCTACAGGACGGTCACCTCCATATCCTGTTTATAAACTTCCTGGTAGCATCTGGGTGACCAGTGTGAGAAACAGGATACTGGAAAAAATGGGCATTCTTATTTTCTTACTGCACGTTTGGCAAAATGTAAAATACTTCATAGGAAAGGGGCATAATCAAAAACAAAATAATGGCTCCTATTGCCCTCCAGAGGCTCAGTTTGTGCCAAGATTTTGCCTTTGAATCTGTTTTGTATCCCAGTCTACAGCTCTGAAATATGTGTATTATTAAGACAGCACTGAGCACATGTTGCGTGTCCATCCAAGCTTAAGAATTAGGGCTTCTAGAATAATTTGCAGGTACATTGCAGCTCCAGTGTGTCTGTTTAAAAACTATGAGAGAAATGTTGGCTATAATAGGGTGAGATTCCTCATGGCTAAAGATGGACCTGAGGAAGCAGCTAACTAGCTAGGCAGGCATGGAGGTGGGCATTGATGCATGCATACACAGTTTCATCTTCTGCCACAGCAGCTGTGTCTTCCTTTGCTTCAATAGTTACTCTTTAAGTGGAGCAGGGATAAGAGCTCTAATAAGCTGTGCAGCATCTGAGAGCAAATGAAGTCTCAGAAAGAAAGGCTTTTCAGTTTTGGTTTTTGGAATTTGTAGCTAGGTTATCAATCTGCCAGTAATTTTGTTGCAGAATTAAGAATTAGTAGGGAAACGGCAGGAGAGATAACTGAGCAATCAGTGCAATAACCCCTACTAGAAGCCTCACAATGCCTCTTTCCAACTTCTCCCTTGAAGAGCCTCCTCATGCTAGTTCTGATGCTTCCAGAATGCTGAAAATTAAATGCTGAAGCAATTAATCCTGCCTCTATTCTTATTAGTGCCTGGCAGGCTAGCCTGCACACACTTATACAGTATGTGTGTACCCTCTCTCTGCCCCAAATAGAAAGTAAGAATATGTAAACATTAAAATATGGACGACAGATTGGTTTGCACTCTAAAAGTTCACAATGTTAACTCAGGACAGAGGTGTGTTCTCCCCCACCCTACCTCAGTATTTGTGTTGCTTCTAAGAACCATTTGGGTATATTAGATCCTGCATTGTGCTTGAGGGCACTGACTTCCAGACATTTTTGTTGGGCATTGTTCATTGTTAGAGACATTTTTCAGTCTTGTCTCTTCCAGGATAGAATTGTGCTTACATCAAAGAGTTTTGGGGTTTTGTTTTGAATTTTTGAGCCCTTTAGCACTGTATTCGCATATATGTGCACTGAACAGGTATGATCCTATCAGGATGTCTTGCTTTTAAAGCCTCTATTTAATCCATTTACAACCATTCTTATCCAGAAATCTGGTTTGAATGAGCCTAGGATGAATAATTAATATCAACTGGTTTAGACCTCAAATATTTAAACAGCTGCCGGGGTGTTTTCACTGGCTCTGCACAGTCAAGAAAATGTGAACAGGTTGAGTTACAAAGGTTCAGCAAAAGCCCTGACTATGATGGGAGTATCCCTAAACCCATGTTTATCCCTAAACAGGATCTGGTTTATGGGCAGTTTCATGTCAGGGGTGGCAGAGCTCACTGTTTAGATGCTTCTGTTATAATCCTCCCTGATGGCACGTCAGGAAATAAAATATTTTCTCTCTGTCTCAGTACAGCTTAGGGCAGAGATCCATGACTTTGAATCAAACAGATAGTTATAGCTTATGTGTCCAGTTTTCCTGTAGATGTATGGAGCAAGCTTTATTCCATATACTGAGGACTCTAGGCCACCTCTGGCACCTACAATACCTGCTGTGCTCTGCTTACTCAAGTGGTGGATTTTACAGACAGACTTTTTTTTCTCTGCCAAAGTCAGTTGCTGACTGGAATATAGGAAAGTAAGATGCTCACAGGCATGGCACTGGGAAGTAAATTTCTTATGTATACACAAGATTCCAAACTCTATCGGAACTAATACAAGATCATACACACTGATTAATGCAACATGTAATTTTGACTTCAGAATGCATTTAACATGGTTATACATGGATAGTTCAGGAAATGTTTGGCAATACACCTATGTGATTGCTGAATTCACTAAAGAACACAGGTAAACTGACACAATATAGGACTGAAAAACATCTGCCAGCAACACTTGTAGAATTTAATCTATCAGCTAAAGTTTGGAATGAAAATATTACATGGTTTGTATGGCTTAGACCAGTGGTAGAAAACCTGGTGCCCTCTGGATGTAATTGTTACATTTTTATTGTATTTTAATGTATTGTATTCTAATCAATTTTAGTTATGCGTGTAATTCACATTGAGTGACATTTTTTTGGTAAAAAGGCAAAGTACAAATCAAAGTCCCAGAATACTGATAATTGGCCATGCTTAGTGGGGCTTATGGGAATTGTAGTACAAAACTTCTGGAGTACACCAGGCTGCCAATCTCTAGCTCAACCAGTAATTAACCAGGGTATAGAAAAGCTATGGAAAATGCAGTTTAGTAAAGATACTTGGGCTTTTTTCATTACTTTATGTTCTGACTCATTCTACATTGTTAGCATATCTCAGAGTGTCTTCTAACAAGTAAAAGAAAAAGAAAAGATGCCTCTTGACAAATCCTAATTGTGAGCTCCTAACTGAAGAATTACAGGAGCCACATGAGTTTTCCCCATTGGCTATCTCTTTGTGACTTATTTGGGAGACTGCTGGATATGAATTGATCATATTCTTCAACAGCCTTCTCCAGACTATGTTTCCTCAGTTTTTGTTTTAAATAGTCTGGGATGGTGGAAGTTGTAGGCCAGAACATCTGAAGGGGGACACACAGGTTAGGTAGAAATTCCACTCTAAGCTCTCTGCTAGCATGCTGCCTTTTAGAAACCTAGCAATCTACATAGCCTGTTGAAATGTGATGATAATATTGGTTTCTTGGGGTTCACTATTTAGTTTTTGAGCACTTCTGGAAAATGCAGTTAAGAAAAGTAGAGTCTGACTTTGGTTAACCTAGGGACAAAGCCTTTTGCTACTAGGATCTGAACTGATGGGTTCATTAGGCATATGGGATAGAAGTGCGATTGCTTAAAAGAAATTCATTTCTTACAATTTTATATCAGTTTTGATACAGAGGGGAAATACAAAGGAATTTCTATCCAAAATTCCCAGTATGTATTGTTCCAGTATATATTAAGTTAAACTATAACTTCTGCTGCACAATTAAAGGATATGGGTGGGAAAGAAGGGTGTGTCCAGACTATAAGCCTTTTAAATATGATATGGTAAATCTTGATGCAGGTGAAGCATATATGTATATAGGCTCTTGTGCATAATAGTGTGAAATTGTACTGCTTGAACTATTAGGGAGAATTATCACAGTCTTTTAGTAGGTCTACTCTGTGTTAGATCCCCAAAGTATTTTGATGAACTTAAAGCACCATAGATGTTTTAGGCAAGCCATTGTTGAGAAGTCTAGGAAATGGCAATTTATACTGCCCTTTGGGGAGGCTGTACATACAAGCTAAAGCAAAGAAGCTAGCAGGGATTCCAGGGAGATTGTCCATATTGCTGAGTTATCCATTGTCTAAGTGTAGCATCAAATGACAGTTAAAGTATCCAGAAAATAAATACATATTTGAAAGCAGTATTCTAGCATTTATGGATACAAAGGACTAGAATAAATTTTGAATATAAAAATACCACTTCAAGATTCAAACAAAAGAAACAGGTAAATGGAATATCCTCAACATTTTGCATCATTTTACTCATTTATTTGAAGTGTATAACAGCAATTTTCTGATTGCAGGATCTGGAATTCCTTGTAACATATGACTGGGTGTTGGGTTGTGCCATCTTGGTATTAACCAGATTTCTTGCTGTCAGACACCTCTGTTTTACTGTAGCTTGTCTCCCCTGCTCATTAATATCTGATATGTTCTAGTTTGGTGCCTGTGCATGTCCTTATCATTCATCAAAATGCCCTTATCATTCATCAGAATTCTCTTATGTCTTATCCCCTTTTTAACAGGTAGGTCAAAGTTGAAAAGTAGTAATTCTATAAAGTGTTCTTTTCCATAAATAAAAAAGAACAAAATTTGTTCCCTCTTAAAACTTAGGAAGTTTTAAACAATTTGTACCATTGCACTATATCCAGAAAGCCAATTTAAATAATGTAAATTAAATCCTTGCAAAAATGAGCCCAAAGAACCGTGATTGCAGCAAACCTATATAGAGGTGATTCCATTCACTCTTCTACTGCCATGCTCAACTTTGTGTCTCTCCCAGACCACCACTTTGTTATCCTTTGCTTAGAGTACCCTGTGCTGATGGGTGTTCCACATATTTTTTTTCTTCCAGGGTCTGGGTTCGTCATGTGCAGTGGTAAGGAGAACCCAGACAGTGATGCTGACCTTGATGTGGATGGAGATGACACACTGGAATATGGAAAACCACAGTATCATTTTCTAGAGAGACTGATCTTCCACCAAGTCAGTGTGGTTTCACTGGAATCACTTAGACCCTTCCTGCTTCCCTAATCCATGCATTCATTCTGTTGAATACAGGGGTTCCACAAGTTGTACATGCTCAACACCTAGTAGATGTCTAGGTGATTTACAGATGATCAGCAGACATTTCTCACTCAAACTTGTTGAACAATAGGAGCAAAAAAACATTCTCTTTTTTATTATTTATTTATTATTTATTTATTAAAACATTTTTATGCCGCCCCATTCGCCGAAGCCTCGGGGCGGCTCACATCAATAAATTAAAATAATTATAATATAAATTAAAATATAAATATAAAATTATTATTGAATTTATATCCCATCTATTTTTCTCTTACAAAAACTCAAAGTGGCATCCATGGCCCTCCTCTCCATTGTATCATCACAACAAATCTGTTCAGGTAGGACTAGCCTGTGAATCACTGACTGGTCCCAAACCACTCAGTAAGCTTCCTGGCTAAGTGAGAACTAGAACTGGGATCTCCCAAGCCCTTAGTTAAACGCTGAAACCACTACACCATGTTGGTTCCCTTTCTCATAATTATAATGCTGAAATGAAGAACGCTTGGGGTAGTCTTGAATGGATTTTTCTATGGAAGGACTCAGAGCTCTTTTCAGTCCTAGTACTCGAAACTAAGTTCAGTCTCAGAATTCTTTGATTTTCTGTGTAACACTTTTGCACTCGGTAAACCTTGGGATTGTATTAAAAAACTAAGGTGACCCCTGCAAGCCTGAAGCCTGCATAGTCTTCCACTAAAATGAATGACTCTTCCCGGTTTCTAGTAACTCCAAACATTCTGTTACTGGCTGAAAGTCTGCAATTTCCCCTCATGCTACTTTCAAGTGAATACATTCTCATCAGAGAGCAGTTTGGTTTTCCACATGAAAAGGCTCTTGAAAACTAGCCTTCAGTACCACAAGAGGATAGAAGAGTACTTTTGGATGTTGCACATTTTCACTTATTTTGTATTTCATAGCTGAAAGGGTATCTCACATACCCTGCCCCATTCTGATAGTCTCTGGGCAGTTTACAAGGCTGCTCCTGCCTTGATGGCTTGGGATAAACACTAAAGAAAACATTTCCAAAGCATATATCAGGATGTGCTCTCCTTAACCCTTCCTGCTTAGATATACAGAGGCAGATATCATTCCATGTACTGGGGAAGAACCAGGTGAAGCCAAAGAGAGAGAAGCGCTTCGTGGTGCAGTCTTAAAGTAAGTAAAGTAATAGTATTGTGCAGGTGTGAAAAAGGAAGTGTTTCTCTCACTGGGAGAATGGCAAGGACATTTTTCAAGAAGGATGCCTTTTCAGTTGAGTATCAGATTCACAGCTAGGGCAGAGGGCCCCTGGCAAGTAGCGACATGCCAGGAAGGTACAGAGGTGCTGTGGCACAATTGGGCAGCATACAGATGTTTTAAATAAATAACAGGAGGAAGTAATTGGCTGACCAACAAGTAAATGCGAGATGTGGTATCTTTTGCTTGTGCTGCTACTGCGGGGGAAATGCCTTTATCATATAAATTTCAATTTTACTTTTAACATCAGAATTTTTGGCAAAATCTGATTCATCAAATTTTGACTGAACAGGGCACTGAGCTTCATGACTGAGTGGGCCTAGAACCTGGATCTCCCAGGTTCCTGGTCCAACACTCTAACCACCACAACAACAATCTAATGCATCTGATGTAAAGGAAAAGAAGTAGAGCAGGGTGTGATACCGCCCCCCTCCCCCAGCTGTCATTTGGGCAGCTGCATTCTCCTATTGAATCATGAAGGAAGAATGGAACTACAAGCAAAAGAATCTGATATGGTCTTTCATTTTCTCAAATTCATTCATCAGGGTTATGAAAGTTGCTTTTGTTCCAAATCCTGACTTGACAGCAGACTGGAAAACTAGCTTTATTTTCCTAAGGTCTTTCTCAAGTGGTTGGGTGTACTTCTAGAATGATTCAGTTCACTTCTTTGGATAACGACCACCAAAATTGGACAAGCAAAAGTATTAAAAACTTCCACAAAGGGTCTTGTATGAATAGTATCTACATTGAGAGAAACAGTTTTATTACAGAGTTATCACAACATGCTGCAGAGAACCCGTCACCATTAACCAGAGGGCATGGTTGCAATACGTCCATGCAGAATAGAATAGCATTCAGCTATGCTGCAGTGGCAGAGAAGATGCAATTTACTGCCATCAGTGCTGCAGAATAGGTTTTCAAATAGATTGTTTTCATAGAAAAATATGAAGCTGTCATTCTGCTGAGTCAGATCATTGGTCTTTCTAACTCAGTACTGGCTACACTGACTGGCAGTTCTCCTGCATTTCAGGCAGCTCTCCAGACTTTCTGGAGACCCTGGGGATTGAACCTGGGACATAATGCATGCACAACATGTGCTCTGAGCTATGGCCATTCCCATTTTGGTTGAATTTATCTCAAGAATTTTGCTATTGTTACTCTCTCTCCTCCCTGTAGTTTCATCACCCAGAGCTCTTCATTAAATTACATTTATCCACTGGATAAGATGGTACTAAGGAGCAGTATTTTTAAGGAACCAGGACCATTATATGTTTCAGTGAATGGGCCACCAGCAAATTC